GGTCACATTTTGCTATGCTTAAAATGTTAACAACCATTGGCTATAGATTTCTCTAGACCAATCGTGATGTGAAAGTCCTGTCGATTGTTTTAGAACCCAAACATAACAAACACAGTAATAAAAAATGTTCATTATGGTAAATGAAATAATAATTTGATCTAAGTAAGTTTTTTTTTTCTTCCTGATTTGTAAATAATCCATACGTGATAGAAAAAAAAGAAAGAAAATTATTTTCGAAATCTGTGAAGCTGAATTATGGAAAATCCGTTATTAAAACCAAAACAATGTTTATTAAGTTTAAATTTGCAGGCCTGTGTTATTACACCCAAACATTTTGTGTTTATGATATTTTTCTTTTATTTATCCCACATTTTGTCTGACATGCCATGTCTGTTAGGTTTAGGGTTTTCTCTTTCATTATTTTTTGTGGTCCTATGTGATTTTCAATTAATAACTTACAGTACATTAATTACATAATTTGTACTTCAAAAAAGCATAGTTGGTACAATTATGGTGACAATAATACCTCTAACTCTTAGGTAGTTTGATATTGACAGAGTTTCCAGCAATTAAGTTTAAACATTTACCTTACATATACTGTAATGTTCTTAATACTTGATAAGGCTGCCCAAACATCTAACAATAAACAGACAACACACTATTATTCAACAGCTACTTACCATAACAAACTGGCAAAGTTGAAAGATTTGGGAAAACTCACTGCACATAGTATCTTTTAAATGTTTAGCTTTAGTCTGAGTCATCTGTCCACTTGAAAAATCAAAAACCTCTTCACTACAAGAAAAATAAATAAAATTAAATATCTTTCCAAAGGTCTTAATCAAAATGTGTATTTGTGAGCTATTAGTAGCATCACTATTAGCTTTCTTTAACAATTCTACAACCTAAGTGAACCAAATATAATATGATTTACAAAACAAATGAAAAGATACTACAAAGTTTATACCAGGGATGAGAATGCATATGAAATTTTTGGGTGGTCCTGGATCTACAAGTCCCTCAAAGCCAGAAGGGTCTATGTTTTCTCTGATGCATTCTAGGCCAACTTGGGCACTAATATTCAAATTATTTACTGCTAGGATGATCAGCAAACACTGGACCTGCAAGCTTCTGCCATTTCAATTTATGTTCCACAGATTAAAATTACAAACCAGTTGACTTACAACACTAACCATTTCAAGAAATATTTACATTTCAAACTATATCCCACAGCTCAAAATTACAAGCCAGTTGACTTAAAACACTAACCACTTCAAGAAATATTTAGACAGATAATCTTTAAGTGTTTATAATTGCAATGATTAGACCAGTTAAGTACAAACTGGTCATAACATGACATAGTGAGACAATATTTGTACAAATCAGTTTTGATAGAGCGAGTTATTGATCAATCATTAACAAACTGAGTGTATTAAAAAAAAGGCAATATATGGAATATTATTTAGGTTCAAGAATGAACCTCCACCTATCCTATTAGATGTCTTGCTTTTTAATTCTAAAATAAATAGATGCATGCTGGAATGTGTATGCATTGTGGCAACCATTTATTGGGTGAATTTTTAATAATATAAGAACATGATCATGCAGTGGCAGATAATGCATTATATCAGTATTAAAGTCATAAAAGTTGGTTGTAATTGTTTTTCTTAACAAAACCCCTGTTTACAAGTTATGCTTAAGATCAAAAGTTTTAAAGAAAAAATCAAGATATGACAATCAAGATTATTTTTCTTAATGTGATAATACTAATACTTCTGTTAACCCTTTCGAGACGGGTCATGGTTGAAAGGCCATGTAATCTCGTTTGTTGATTCGCATTCAACATTTTATTGAACTACTATTTCACGAATTTATGTCAATAAGTCTGGTATCAAACTGCAGATTATAATTTAAATTTTAGTACTATACATTACTCAATTTCTTAACTTAAATGTGAATATTAAAAACATGCAGATAAACATCAATTTTTGTGTGTCATGTGGTAGGTTAAATGCAGCACTAGCTCAAATTAGGTGTTTGTAAAGTCAAAACACTAAGTCTATAGTTTCGTACAAATTAGAAACTCAAATTACCAATATTGACAAGCTAGAATATAAAATAAGAAGGACATATCTTTTCTTTTTGCTAAGATATTGCTCATTAGAAACTCGTGTAATAAATCAAACACAGTAGCACACTGCCCATCTCTTTCCATTTTTGGAAACGCTCCATTATATACACTTACTTCTAGATATGACATGAATAACCAATCAGAAGCTCAGAATGTCTCCCTAGTGGCTTTCCCAGACACGTTAATGGATTTGAATGCCATTTCTTTCTTTTGAACAAATATTTCAAGGAGGCAGGGTGTGTTTTTAGTCTGCTCGAAATTTCATATTTTTTTAGACTAAAATACATCTCAGTTACT